ATTAGAAACAATGAAAAGTGTTCAATTTTTATATAATATCAGTCGCTCTACATGACAGTAAAATCGTCTTTGAATTTCTGTGACACATTTTTCCATAGTCTTTTATAACATTTCGCTTTTCTGTACTTGATTTATTCTGACGTTTCCAATGTGTACAACGTATCTTGGACTGCTCCTTTTGCTAATGACCATAAATTCTGTCTTCATACAACTAATGGTTTACCCTTACCTCTCACGCTGTATAATCTGAATAGATCTGAAGACAAACGAACCCTTCATATCATTCATCGTTTTATTCAGTTATATTGTGGTTACCACACCCCTCAATCTCACAATTGTGGTTCATGGTGCCATCGAAGGCAATATAGTGCAATGTCTTGCCGGTTCATTTTGCACCGGGGATATTAAAGTTATCTCGTCCCACCTCTCTGAGACGTGAATTTGTTTTTAAAGTTAACTTCTTCTATCCTTTGCCAAAAGAGACAGAACCTACAAGGCAGGAAGCTGGTTTGAATTCAGAGGTACCTTCTCCTAGACGATAAGCCCCAGTCTGTCCTTCTAATTTATCCATATTTGGGGACGCTTAATATATATCAGTCATTTAAGTGCTGGACGTGGAACACGCTTGGGGGATCATGTCGTTTGCGATTAATGACAGACTAGGCAGAAGATATTCCCGCAGTAGGTTGGCGTTTCGTTCTGCAGTAAACTGGTTGCACCCGGAAGTCTATAGGAGCCAATTTGTCAATTCAACCCATAGATGGGTGAAGAAATGATATCTGCACGTAATGGAATGTAACTCGGTTCACCGATTTCTCATTTTCCAGCTGTTATTCATTATAACACCACACACTCACATACACATGCATACGCGCGCGCACACGCACACATACACAGAGAGGGGTGCGATGGATAAATTGTCTTCTTAATTATGCAAAAATTAAAATAACAGTGACATTCATTTTAACAAATATATTTTCCAAACTTATACAAAAATATGTAGAAATACTAAAGAGTAAATTTATTCATTAAAATCACCACTGGCTTCAAACACGGCCTCCAGACAACTTCAGAATCTCCTGCAACTCTCCTGGACGGCCTACTTAGTTGCTGAATGCTCCCATAATCCCTGCATTCAGTTCATCTTTGGTGCTACGATGCGTTTTGTTGGTCTTTCGCCCAACTAGGCCCAACACATAATAATCAAGGGGGTTGCAGTTTGGAGGAGTTATGTGGACAAATGTAAGAGGTGATGTAGTCGCAGAAATTGTATGACAGGCCTGAGAGGTTTCACCTGTTTGTGTGGCATGGTGCTGAGTCCTGTTGACAGACAGGGTCTCCCAACAGCCACCCTCTTGACCCAGGGCAGCACTATCTCTTCAAAGTACTTGATATAGGCCTCTATGTTGCGTGTAAGGCCTTCGCCAAAAAACTTCGGGAGTTCGTTTCTTGTGAGAAGGATCAAAGTGAGTTTTCCGAGCTCCGTACTATCGTAATCACCATTAGACTCATCCAACTCTTTCCGAATCCTCTGTACTGTCCTATGAAATGTTTCTATGTCAAGTAATGCAGCATCCCATTTCCTAATTTCTGGCGGGTTGAATTGCGTCATGGAGGTCTTTTTCTTACAGACGGCGCCCAACTGACCCTACAGTCGACAAATTCAAAAAGAAACAACTCGCATGCGCAAAATTAAAAATATAAGATGACGACAATTTATCCATCGCACTCTGTGTGTGTGTGTGTGTGTATATATATATATATATATATATATTATAAATTAATTGATTTAAAATATGTTTTTTTTCGCTACATTCATTTAACGGATGTTAGATTTCATTGAAAAATACATTCCTACCCCCCCCTACCAAAACGTAACTAATAAGTGATACATCAAAATACAGATAATAAACACGCAGACACCCCTTGTCTGGTGGAAGTGGATTTATCTGTAACCTTGGAAACGTAAATTATGATTTTAGCTGTGTCTTTAAAACCCAGTAATTTTAAAAGTTACTCCAAAATTCGCTTGAGGATGAAATGGAACTAATGTCTTTAATTTAATTACAAGATTAAATTCGGAGCTTTTAGCTTCCATTTTTGAAACATGGTTAGAACTGTAGTAGTGAAAAAAACATATTTTAAATCAATTAATTTATAATATTAATGCTCTGTAAATTTACATTGAGCACTATTAGCAACAAAAAAAATAAAAATATCTATAAGAACACCGCATTATATATCTTACTGTTCTTTCTTTATATATATATAAAAATATATATATATATATATATATATATATATATATATATATATATATATATATATACTGGCCGAAACTAGTCGAGAAACCTAATTTAAATAATAATACAAAAATATTAATATACAACCCAGTGTGTCTGAAATTTTAATTTTTAACCTTTTTTATTGTTTAAGAGAAAACTTAAACTTATGATTCCGGATTGAATCCAAATTTTAAATGGCGATCAATGACAATTTAATAATCAAAAATTTTTCTGGATATTATGACTGTATAATAGATAAGAGAGATTTTAAGAAAACAAATTTTGCTGCTTAAGATCATTTTTTTCTCGCTAAGATTTGTAATAGGTCTTATCGAAATCCTTATTACTTATTTTCTTATCTATGCATATATAAAGGGTACTTGTCTTCATGTGCGTGCGTGTCCGGCTAAAACTAAAAAAAAAAAAAAAAAAAAAAACTAGAATAGTCTGACAAAGCAAATATGTATACAGATTCATTATCACCCAAGTCAGCTTATTGTAAAAAAAATTATCATCGTATGACCTGTATTTAGGAAAATATTTTAAAATTAAAATGCATTAGAGTGCATTCGAAGTTCTCAGAATTAAAAAGTAAAAACGAACGGTAAGAATTCTTATTCTCGAGTCGGATTACCGTTCGTTTTTACTTTTTTTGTTCTGCTAAACTCTATTCAATTATGTATTTTTAAAATGTATATTCTCTTGAATTTATTTTCACATCTACAGTAAATAAAAGCGTAACTTTAAAAAATGACTATTAAAACAGCAAAGTAAATTTAAAAGCAGAAGAATATTAAACAAAATTATTTGATAAAAACTTTAATATTTATTTATTCAAATATTCGAGTGTGTGTACTCGGCTAAAACATCTAAATAAAGTAAATAAACTAAATTAAGATATATTTAAACAAGTTTAATTTAATAATTTTTAAAGCAAAAACTATAGCGTGTCTTACTTCTGCGAAAAATAATTTACTATTTATTTCGGGAGGGGATTATTATTAATAAAAAGTAAATAAACATAAATTAAGAATTTAAGAAATAATTAACTTGAATTTATTTTCACATCTAGAGTAAATAAAAGCATAACTTTAAAAAATGAATATTAAAAACAAAGTAAATTTAAAAGAAGAATATTAAATACACTGATTTGTGAAAATGTTTACTATTTACTTATTCAAATGTTCGAGTGTGTGTGTGTGTGTGTGTGTGTGTGTGTGTGTGTGTGTGTGTGCGTTCCATGCTACAAAATAAATATACAGTAGCTGTGAGAAATCTATTATTTTTTATTTTGCTTAATATATCTACATTAAATATATGTTTATTTATGCCATATATACATTTTTATAGCATTTACATTATGATCATATCTACTGGTAGTTACTATAGCGGTTTTATACCTAAAAAAAAAGCCCTTCCTACCTACGTACGATAGGTTTTAACAGACCCATTGTTTTTTTTGGTATGTAACTAATATAAAAAAGTAAATAATTTTCATTTAAGTTTTAACAAAGCAAAAAATATAGCGGGCCTTATTTTTTCGAAAATTAATTAAAATAAAATACAGTGTAACCCGGATATAAGAGAGTTGTCGGGACCGGAGAAGATGTCTCTTATATCCGGGTTTCTCTTATATCCGGGTTTGGTCTATTTTGTTTAGGTAAGTATGGGCTCTAATTTGGGACCAGAGAAAATCTCTTATATCCGGGTTTCTCTTATATCCGAGTCTCTTTATAGTTAAATTCATGAAAGAAATATTCAACATGGCTAATATTGGCCGTAAGTCATGTCTGTCTCTCCTAATTTTTATTTAACTAAAGTTTTTCTTTTCTTTTCTTTTCAAATACAAATACAAACTTGAAATTTAAACAATCGCTTTTGAAATCCAAATTCTCAATGTATCAGGCTTGCTTCTACTCTTATTCAAAGTAGATAGTAATTAAATTCATTTACAGAGAAATGTTTACTAATGTAATTTTTAAAAGTAAAACTTGATTTACTTAAAAATCTAAATTCCCCTTCAAATAATTATTTTTTCAAAATGTAAGGCTTGCTATAGAATTTGATTTAAAAATGATTAAATTAAATGTTTAAATATATCTTAATTTAAGTTTATTTACTTTTTTTATTGATAATAATTTAAAAAAGAGTTAAATTTTTATTTGTTTGAAAACAACATTAACAGATTATTTACGTTAGTATTTAAATCGAAAAATAATCTGTCTTTTTTAATAAAAATATGGGCTCAAGCCTTTAATTCTGCTGAATGGGTATTTTATAGTGACGTATTTTTCGTAAATTTACTTTTTGATAACATTTAAAAAATACAATATTTTTTATTTTTTAAAGATGAATAAGAAATTATTTTCCATAAGATGGCTGAAAAATATTAATATTATTCAGAGATCTTCCGAACAACGCTGCATATTCCGGAGAGTACTAAAAGACAGTAAAACATTGTTCTCACTTATCTGCCACTAGTCTGAGTTTCGAAGAGATTACACTCACCTGCTAGATGTTAAATTATGAAGTATTACAAAGCTTGCATGTTTTAAAAAGCGTTACCTTCCGGATCGTGAACATGAGAATATTTTCCATCTCAAGCTGCAAATATTAAATGGGTCTTTCAAATGGAATAATAAATGGTGAAAGGATGATGACGCAGATCGAAAATAAAATTTTCTTCCCCTCCAACGGAACAATATAACTTCTTACCTGAAAGCCGAGCTGTTGCAGAAATGATTTTCACAACTAAATCGTCGTCATAGTCAAGGTATCGAGCCTCTGGGTCACATGTGGACAAACCAAATTTTTCCCAGTCGATATCGACTTCGTTTCTGAAAGACAATACAAATATAGAATAAGTTAAATCAAAGATCCGGTATTATTTTTCGGATGAATTTTTCTTATGCATATAAGAAATATATAACCAGGTTCGGCTCAAGGTACTGGCAACTCGAGTAGTCGCAACTGGGGCACCGGCAATTCGAGGCGGCCTCAAGGCCGAGGAGACCATCATGCGCCATGTCATGTGTTTGGGATATTTCAAAACTAAAGCTTATAAAAACATACTTGCGATCGTCCATGACTCAAGACAGATTGAATTCTTTGGCGATTTTCTCAATAGAAAACGATCTTGTAAAGAAGATAGGTGTAGAAAGTGCCATGAAAAGACTTGCAGATACAAAGGCTAGCAAAATGTTTTAGGTAGGATAATGAATGTTTTGTTGTAAGGGTGTTCCAATAACTTGGACCGATTTAAATGTGAATTAAGTTTAAGCATCTAATGATTTTTTTTCTTTTCCTTTCAGATTTGGCGGACATTTGGGCGATATTATTTATTACACATAATTGCCATGACTTAAATAACATGATCCAATAGAGAAATAAATAAAATTTCACCAATAACACTGATTTATTTACTGCTGACTTTGATCCCACTTAATGAAACACCCTCATATATAATCCGTCTTAATGAAACACCCTTCATATTGTAATAAACTTGTTATTCTGCCTTTTCAGTTTTTCTTCTTGTGGAAATTAGAAAAAAAAAAAAAAGATAAATAAAGGCGCCAAAATTCAATATATAGATATAGCAAATTAATAATTTTCATTTTTTATAACGCCTTTTTGATATAAAATCTGACGATCAATATTACATTGTTTTCAATAGGTTTAATGGCAATCTTAAAGTAACAAATTAATACAAAGCATTCGGCATTCATTAAAGTTTATAAAATCTTTTTCTTAAAACATATTTTCTGCAAATTAGACTCGACAAGTCAACTGCTATCGTTCTTTTTATTACTGATGGAAGTTTCCTTCCTAACTTTTTCTTTAAGATAGAAAGCAAAGTCAACATCTTTATTACTTTATTTTACTTCCTCTTCTCCATACAAATTTTATATTTTCTGTTTGAAAAATTTGCTGTTGGAGACATTCAAGACAATGCGGATTCAAAATACAAAAAACCCTTTAACTGATTGTGTAGGGTTATTTATAGATTCTGATGAAAATTATCTTTTCAGGACAAATATATTTCATTATTTTGAAGTAGTGAAAAATCAATTGTAAAATAAAATGCTTATATAACAATGAATACCAAGTCTATAATCATTTATCTAGTTCAAGACAGATTAAATTCTGTGGATATTATCGTCAATAGAATATGGTCTTGTAACGAAGGCGTAGAAAGTGCCAAGAAAAGATCTGCAGATATGAAGGTCAGAAAAATGTTATAGGTCGGATAATGAATGTTTTGTTTAGATTGTATTAAGTTGCATATTGTAATAACTTTGTTATTCTCCATTTTCAGTGTTACTCCTTAAATATCATCTGAGCTTATAGGTAGATATTAGTTTTTTTTTTATATGTGAGCCTATGAGAATTACTTCTCGAATAAGTAAATATTGGTCATTTATATTTGTTCCTATAGTTAAATCGTGGATGTTTATATTTGTGTATAAAACAATTTTACTAATTTTTGAATTCAAAGGTAAATATTAGTTGTTTATATTTTTTCTATAAGAATTGTTAATGGGATTCCATCCTTTTTCGTCTTTTGAACACCCATTCTCGAAAATTATTTTAATTATTTGAATGTACAGGGGTTCCTCGACTTAGGACAGAGTTCCATTCCTACGAAAAAACGCCAATTATCTTCATTCAGAAAATTTTAATTTATCTATATTTATTATAATATAAAGCGCCGTAATGATATAAAGGTTACCCTTAAATTTAATATTTAAAAGATAAATATATTTTTACAAAAATTATATTAGCAGAAGAATAAGGACCGTCAAATGAAAATGACAACTAATTCAATTTTTTTGATGGAAATTTTTTAAATAAAGAATGTCGTAAATCAGGACTATCTGTTTTTAAAGATTTACTGTGCATTATATTATTTCTTTTTATTCGTTGTTTTCTTTGTCTCACATTGTATTAAAAGATTTACGGAGTGAAGGTTTCTAATTAGTCATTTGTTTTCTTTTCATGTTCTTTTAACATTGTGTTTCGTGTCATCTTTTTGTACGTTAATTTTCAAAGCAAAACTAATGTTTAACGAAATAAAAAAAACACATGAAAATAAAATTCAAAATAAAAATTCACATATCTAAGCAAGCTGCAATTGATTTAAACATTTCGTTTAAATTGATGTTAATTAATTTAATCGATCTTTTCGGAAAGAAATATTAAAAAAAAATATAGTATATATTTATAAATATATATATATATATATATATACATACATGTTGTATATGTATATAGATATATAAATATATATAAATATTGTGTGTGAATTGATTTATACAATTTATCTTATTCAACTTTGTGAATATATACTCTTTAGAAATTTTAATTTATAATATTTATGTGTGAAAATCATATAGAAACGCCTTCTAAATAATTTGATAATTGAATATTTGGGTTAACAATATTTACAGAATTAATATCTCGTCTTGAATATAAACAAAAATCTTTTTGGGGTTCAAATGATATTTAAGTTTAAAAGCATAATGTGTTTTCAGAAATCATTCACGTCGAATTATAAAAAAAAATATATATATTATATGGATTGATTCTCTGTTGAAAAACCTTTCATTTTTTATTGGATAAAAATATTTCACGTTGAACTACTGGTTTAAGATGGGAATCAAAGCATTTTTTCGAGGCTGAACAATACTTAGATACAAAATGATTTAATAAATACCATTACCCTTGTAAAATTTAATGTGCGAAAAAACTTATTGTGGATATGGCAAAAAAAATGCGGACAACAGGGAACTTTATAAATAATGTTAAAATTAATTACAATACCTCATCTCAGTAATCGTATTAGACAAATCCTGAAGAAATAATGGATATGGTTTAACATTGACGAAACGTCGTAGGTATTTTAATTCGAAATTTTACGGACAATATTCCTTTCAAATAATTAAAACTAATACAATAACTCATCTCAGAAAAATAGACAATATTTGTTTATTTAAATCCCAAATCGCAATTATTTCAAAACAGAAACATTAATTTTAAAAAATTGAGTTATGTTTTAAATATTTTTAACATTTGTGCTCAAGATTTATATATTTTTCAAAACGGCGCTAAACTAAATTTAAAAAATTTCTAAACTTTCGACTATATATTTTCTCCTTAGTCAGATCGATGGTTAAAAATGTTTTACAAATAAGCGTGTTTTCAGCGAGGACCGTCCTACTCCGTATATCGTGGATTATTTTGCTAAACATAATCAAATCAAAGGGTTCGATTGAATGGCAGAACAACAGTAAACCATATTTTTTTCAATACTTTTTTAAATCAGCAACAAATAAAATGGATATTTTATTTAACTAAAGTGAGAATTCGTACTTTAATCAAAACGTTGATTCCACACGATTTTTTACAAAATGGAAGAAGGAAACCTCCATACAATATTTATATTTTTCAATATTTTATGCAGTTTTTCAGAAAACCCATTTTCCTCAAAAATTGTTTGAATTTAAATTTTTATAATTCATCTGACAAAAACTAACTCCGCAGTAAATAAAAATGAATATTTATGTTAAAGAAACGCGAATTTAATAATCATAATCTTACAAAAACAATTTAAAAAGTAAAATAATATTTTTAATTTGAATAAAAAAACTATATTTTTAATTTCAATGAATATTTGTTTTTTTTTATAAGGAAAAATGCTATATATATTACCATTAGAGATTTGGAGATTATATATACATTAAATTAATTTGCCGTCCCAAGCTGGCGGATATAACACAATTTATTTTAAAATGGAAAGTTGGGGCATTTCTTTTTAAAAATCCAAAATACCCCTGGAACCGTCGATAGAATATAATAATTTTATGCCGATCCTCCATTTTAAAGCATTGATACAAAAGTGCAACGTTGTTGGAGAACCGGGAACCATTTTAAAAAATTCAAAGTTGTGCTCTGTTCGAAGACAGAAAGACAACACAAGGACACCTTGAAGTTTGTCCACCTGAAGTAAAGATATATTTTTAAAATTGATCTTCGCCCAACTGTTTATGGGAGTGAAGATTTGGAGTAAATAAAAATATGTTTTATTAATGATTGCTGACTATTTCCTCGGCTGATATTACCATAATAATGGATTGATGAGAATTCACTATATGATCCCAGCCATAACTAACGAATGAAGAAAAATAAATAAGTAACACTAGATATCATTATGTTTTGTGAATGACAAATGTTAATTTATAAGGAAACTGCTAATATTACCAAAGCATTTTTAAAAGAACATTTAAAGGAAGTGGATCAAATTTTGAAAATGAGATAATTGATATCTCCAAATTTCCATAGTCTTATTTTGCAGAAATAAATGTTTTGATATTAAAATGGAAATAAAGATATAAAAAGTGGTTCTTTATGGATTATTGATTTTATATGGGAAAAATTTGATTATATTGAAATTTTAACCCCCCATGATCCCGAACACAATAAATCATCACTGATTTTATCTTTAACTCGTATCATGAAACTTTTAATTTTAAATTTTTTTTCTGTTGTTAAAAAAATTATAAAAAATACAATATATAGATACAAAGCGTTTTTGCGACGGGCTCCATACGTGAAATCGTATACAACTTCAAACAAAAATTGTATTTTTTTAACTGAACAATTTCATGGATATGGACAAATGATAAGAAGCAAATGTATGCATTTCAAACAAAATCATTAAAAAGAAATTGATTTCATTTTTTTAAATCTGTTCAAACACTGCTAGCAGTGTTTCAGGAAAATATTAAAAGAGAATTCAAATGCCCAAACGAAAAACAAATACTACAAAATTCTAAAATTTCAAACTACAACATATTTTTTTGCAATTTTATAGTTCATAAATAAAATATATTTGAATTCGTCTATGCAATAACAATGATGATAGCACTTTTAAAATAGTATTTTTCGTTATGGAAGTTTGTACATACCTAAAACAACCTTTACATTCACATGGATATATATATATATATATACATTTATAAATATATGGATATATATATATATATATAAAGAATTATCTTAATGGAACAAATAATCTGTTTTATGGTAATATAAAAAGTCTAAATATATATTTAATTTTAATCTGTTTTATATATTATAATTATAAATATATATATATTTTTATATATATGTTTTTTCAAAATTTTAAATATCAAAATATTTATTTTTAAATTAATTATTAAATTTTGCCCAGTTTGAAGAATTTTAATTATATTTCATAATTTTGGGAATAAAACATTGATGATTTAATAATTGATATAAAAATTTATATATATTTATCTATTTGAATATATATATAAATATTTAATGTTGAGAAATAATGTCAAAATATAAAGCGTTTGAATTTTCAATTTATTTGAGAAGGATTGAAAAGGTTTCTTTTTTTTTAACACCTTATTTTTAAAAATGTTATTATCCTTTGCGGAATTAAAAATAAAATAATTTTGAATTTAAAAAATAATGAAAAAGGTATTTTGTTTAATTATATAAAATATTTTTTAAATACAAAAAATATATATATTAAAAAAAATATAAATAATGAAAATTATTAAAACATTGTGAAAATAATGAAAAAAAAACAGGAAACCAAAAAAGCAAATATGAAAAATAATAAAAAACTAAAATTCAATTTTTTAAAAATGCAACACCCAATGAAAAGTTTTGAATTAAAAAACAAAAAAAATAAAAAAAATAAAATTAAAAAAAAAAAAAGAAAGTATAATAAAAATAAAAATCTAAATTTTAATTAGTATTTCTTAAAAAATTTTATAAAAAAATAATTGAAAAAAAATTAAAAATGTAAATATATAAATTAACAAATAATTTGACTAAAAAATTGTTTGAAAAATAATAAAAAAAAATATCATAAGAAATCGAATTATTATGGTATAACGTCCTTTTAAATAATATTAAACATGTTTATATATGATTTAATAAAATATATAAATATTATATATATATATATTTATTTTAATTTATAATTAAATTGAAAAAGAAAATTTAATTGTGTTGAAAATCTGCAAGATATAAAAATTGAACAAAAAGAATTTTTCTTTAAAAAAAATTTTTTTAGACAAAAATTTAATTTAATTTATAATACATTTTCTTAAATGGATGAATCTAAACATATATTAAATTTGATTCATTTTTTTTATATCCATATATATTAAAATTATAATTTGAGGATTAATTTTTAAAACAATGATTTTTCTTTCATATATTGGAAAATTTTTTTTATTTTTTTATATTTTTTATATTAATTCAAAATGAATTTAATTAGAAAAATCTTTTAATTATAATTCTTAGAATTTTATATAAAAATATAAATGACAAAATTTTTGATATAAAATTTTTTGAAATTAATCATATATAAAGAATTCAAAAAAATAAATTAAATAGACAGGATTTTAATTGTGTAAAAAGATCTTTTTGGATTTAATTTGATATAATATTTATATAACTGTCAATTTTAGATAATTATTATATAAAATAATAACATTTTATCAAAACTAATGTTTCAATAAATTTTTAGGTTTAAAGAAATTAAATAAAATTTAATTAAAGTAAAATGATTTCTTTAATTAATTGCAACAAACCGAAACAAATCAAAATAAATAATGTATAAATAAAAAGAATAAAAAATAAATGTTTAAATTTATATATAAGTTTCAAGTTTTTGATTTTGATATGAGATAGAAAATATATATATTCAAAGAATAAATATATATCCATGAAATAATTTGATTGATGGTTTTTAAAATCGAAAAAAAAAAAATTCATATTTATAAATATTTATAAACTACAGAGAAGAACGATTTTAAACAGCCCCATTCAATTATCTTTATGAAATTATAGATAGCAAATTTATTATAATGTTTTTATTTTATTAAATTTTAGCTTTAAAAACAAAAACTAGATTGCAGAACTTTGTAATATTAAAAATGCAGAAAAAAAAATAAAATTTTAAAAAAAAAATTAAATTGTTAAACTAAAATCTTAAGTACATTCAAAATTTATAAAAAAAATATTTAATTATAGTGAAAATGATTTATATTTCTAAAATTAAAAAAAATAAACGCTAAATCAAGCAATTCATAACAAAAAATTAAATAAAAATGTTAAAATTAAAATAATAAATTAAATTTTATGAAAATTAAATCATATCTAAGAAATTAAATTGGATTATAAACATTTAAATTATTTTTTGGAACTTTTGTGGACCTTAAATAAAATATATTCTTTATATACATTATATATAAATATATATTTAATTTATAATCAAATTTATAATTCTAAAGAAAATATTTTATTTAACATTTATTAAATATCGAAAATAATAATTGATTTTTAAAAAAATTGAAAAAAGAGATAAAATTTTTAATACAAATTGAACTTAAATGGATAAATTTTAAAATTTAAACTTATTTTTGAAAAATTCAGAAAAAAATCGGATATCAAAAATAGAATAAAATAAAATAAATTACAAACCTAATAATGATAAACAATGTTGGGTATCAAATTTAATATGAAAATAGGGAATGAAAATAAAATAAAAATACCACATGGAAAGCATTTATAAATAATTTAAATATGAAATATATTTAAATAAATAAATATATTAATATTTTTAATATAAAAAAAAAATAAAAATTTGAATTTTTTAATGGAAAATTTTTTTTAAAAATTCAATGTTATTAAAAATTGTTTTAAATGATTTTATAATTTTAAATAAATATCGAAATTAAAACAATTAACGAGTAACTATATTAATTTAAAACATATATATTTAAATTATATTAAATATTTATAATAATATAATACAATATATATAGAATATATATATATAAAATATATTATATAACCCTTTAATGCTTTTAAAACAATTGGGAACAAAATTTGAAACAATTTTATCGCAGACTTATTAGAAAAACCAAAACAAATCAAAAATGGTTTATTTTGAATTTTTATAAAATAATTTTTTTCAATTTTAGTTTTGACAAATTTTCATTGTCAATTTTGGATATTGATATTAAATAAAAATTATTTACAGAATAATTTTTATTTAGGACTCAAAAGAATTATTAATCATAGAAAAATATGGAAAACCTTTTATATTGTTATTTATATATAAATTTATATATATAATCATTTGATATTTTAAAAAAATAAAAATATTAAAAATAAAAGAAAAAACTTTCATTAATTGCTTTTTTTTATTTGAAATTACCAAGAATAGTTCCTCAAAAAAATTTTTTTTCAATTCAAATGAAAATTAAATGAAAATCATTAAAGTATTCTTTCGTTTATTTTTAAAATTAAATTAATTTTTAAATTTTTATATTTATAATTTTAAGGATAATATTAAATTTTAGAATTGTTTTTGAATAAATTATTCATTTTAGAAAATATTTAGTTTGACAAATTAAATAACATGGTTTTTTTGAATTGTGAAAATTTACATAAAGTTTTTAAATAAAAACAAATTTAATTTATTTTCTTTATATGTATGTTCCAAAGAATTAAAGTTAATGCATATTTTTTTTTTTTTTTTATATAAAAATAAAAATATAAACTCTTCTTTAAAATTTTATAATTTTTTTTTTTAAAAAATAAAATTTGAATTTGATCCTCTGAAAAAGCTAAGATAAAAGTTATGGGTTTTTGTAAAAAACAATTTGGATTATATAATAATAATTGATCATATTTATTAAAAAAAAAAAATAACATAAAATTTTTTAAAATGTTTAATTAAAAATTTACATATAATATGAATATATGTTATAAACACAAAAAAAATATAAAATTAGATGAGGATTTTAAAAAAATTTTGAAAAAAAAATTATTTTAATTTATATAAATATAATTTTTATTTTAAAATTTATATTTTTGCATTAACAGAAAGACGTTTCTTTAAAAAAATATAAAAAAATTTTGGAAAAAATTTTTAAATAAAAGGCAATATAAATTAAAAAAAAATATAATAAAACATCTATTTTCTTAGAAAAATTATAGAGTTATAAATATATAAATACAAAAAAAAAAGATTAGTAAATTTCTTTAATTTATAGGAGGAATCAAATAATTCTTAAAAAAAAAAATGAAAACAGGAAGGCATAAAAAATGACTGATTTACAAAATTTCAATCAAGGTATATTACATATTGAAAATATAATTAAAAATTGATAGAACGTTCTTTTATTTAAAAATCATTAAAAAAAAATATAAAATAAGTTTCTTAAAAAAAAATTTATATTTAAATTTTGGTTTATTTTAAGAAAAAATGAAAATAAAAAACCGAGAAGCGGAATGACTGCATTTTTTCAAAATTTTTATAATAAATGCGAATTTAAAAATATAACAAAATTTTTAAAATATCGGAAATACATTAAATAAAAATATTTTGTTGATTATATATATGAAATTATAACCTGTTTTCAATTGAATTCAAATCAACTTAACATAAATAAAATTTCAATCTAAATAAAAAAATAAAATATACCAAATGATTTTCAACAAAACTGATAATTGATATATAAATATATAATATATATGTGTGACAAATTTATAA